TTGCTTGGATCTCTAAGAGCTGATGGGCAGGACGTCTTGTTCTAAGCTCTACCATGCTTTCCAACAAACAAGCGCCACCAGGGACTAGACGTCAATGCTTCACCTTTACTCTGGCCATGCTGGTGGACGGCAAAGCCTCCTGTCCGCCCTGACCTTCCACTCATCATTAGCATTCCGTTTCCAGCCGTGTCTCCCCACCACTTCACGTGTGAATGATCTCCCCTGGAATGGCTGCAACAGTGACAGACAGGACTAATGACAGCAATTACACTGCCATCTGTTCAGCAAAACGTGCCCTTCCAGAAGAATAGCCACAGTCTTAGTGCATTTAGGACACAGCTACGAAATTAAAATGACATGAGGGAATCAATACAAAATATTTATTTTTTTCAAACCACAGAATCCGCCCCAGAGCCACACTATAAATTTTTTCAGAATTGTAAGCTGTTAAGGTTTTCCTAAATAATCCAGTCCAACCAGAAATGAAGATAGTTCCCAACCAGGGTTACAGGGGCTTAATGTGCCTCTGGTAAGCAGTTTCTGTAATTCCCCCACAGCCACATCGACAGAAGCAGAAACAGTGTATGCACTTGTGCCGCTCGGCTGTGGAAAGAGGTTCAAAACACGGGCTTGGCCAGTGGAGGAGGGAACATGAACATGGCAATGACTTAGTTCATAAACAGCAGGGACAGATGAAAAATTATTCTCCTTGGAAAATAATAGGGGTTCTTTCACATACAGGGTGGGGCAAGAGGAGGTTTACAGTTGTGAGTATGCGAAAGAATTTATTTGTAATTAATTATTGTAGTACTTATTAATTATTGTAGTATTTTCCATACAAACAATGGTAAACCTACTTTGAGGCAAATTTCAACAAAGTAATAAAAATAAAAGAAACCCATTTCTCCATAAACTACTATGACCTCTATTTTAACTTCTGATAAACATAATCTTATGCAATCACACTGAAAACAGTAACACAACCAAAAAGGACCGATCTCTTACAGGTATCAGTCGCAGAATTCACATTCTGATCTTCAATTTCAATGTCCCCTTAAGAGGCCTAGACTTGGAGTAAACATAATACTCTGAAGCTCAATGAAACACCATAAAAAAAATCAACTGAAAACATCCAAACAGTGACTGGATAGCTAACGTGGGTTATCTTGTGTTGGTTTTTTAGTTGTAAAGTTTTTTAGTATCTCGGATTAGTGTATATTCCTAAAACAATGTTCAGTTATTTTAACAATAGCTGCTTATTAAACAACTAGAGGCCCAATGCACAAAGATTCATGCAAGAATGGGCCTTCCTTCTCCTGGCTACCGGCACTGCCTTCTCTATGGCAGGAGCAGCCTTCCACCTTCCCACGCTGCCCAGAGGCCCAGAGCTGCTGTGGTTGTGCAGAATGCCTGTGTCATCACCATGGCAACAACACAAACCTCTCACACACACACACACACACACACACACACACACACACACACACCCGCCACTCCGCACCTGCAAATTAACAAACCATCTCTGTGGTTTAATTTGCATATTCACTCCTGATTGGCTAGTGGGTGTTGCAAAGGTAGTCAATTAGCATGTTACTCTTTTATTAGATAGATTGACTTTTGGCTTAAGGGCAGTAATTCTAGCATGATAATCATGAAAATAATTGTGATAAAACAGAGTAAATACAGAAGAAATTACAGCCAGCCTCCATAAGATGTCGACCAACCTGGAAGGTTACCCTGGGCGAGTAAATGGATTTACGAGAGACTAGGATACAAGTGCTCCTGCTCACTTCATACCTGCAGAAACCATCGTGCCCGCTGGATCACGTCCCTCTGCTAGCGCGTGTGCACAGACCGCTACTCCAAGTACTCTGTGCTGAAGGGCGCTCGAATCCCTCTGCAGTCAGTACAGAATACTGCAAGGTGATGCATGTGCCAACTCTTCCTGAGGAATTCTTTATGTGTGCAAATCTGCAACCCGGCGGGAAGCATGAACAGGGGACCGGCAGCTTGAGGGGGTTGCCGTGCTGGGGCTGCAGGTCACAGCCTCGGGCATCCTTTCTCCTGCAACTCTCTCACTCACAAATCTCTCTCACTTTCACTCATCCTGTGCCCCAAAGAAATGAAGGGAGCTGCCTCAAACTTGTAAAAGGGACAGAAAACATGTAAAATGTAGTAACACACAACTCTTTGCATCCAGGTTGGTGGTACTTCTCACAGATTCTACATAAGAACTATGTATGTCAGGGTTTGCTTTCTGCTCCACAAAAAACCAAGTAGTTGCTAGATTAGGGTACGGCCGTGACAACAGAGGGCATCAGAGGACTCTGTTACTGAAGATTCCTCTCAAAACCATTATTTTCTATTTATACTTTTTCATGCCAGGACTCCAATGGGATTGGACTGGCTTTCTTTTGGAAGGTTTTAGTTGTAGGCTGCACACACACACTAGTCAATTTAGCTAAATCAACTTGTTGACAATCGACCTGCATGTACAATTTTCTGACTTGGGCCCCACAAAAAATCAACTGGGTGGAAAAACTATATACTATCCTGGCAAGAATATAAGTAAACATGAGGAAATACTTTCTGGCAGACAATGCTTCATCAAGACAAACATGGAGGACAAATCTTATTTCTTCTCGTGTTGCAAACAAAGAATTTAGCTAAGAACCCCAATTAAACAAGGTCAACTTTGGCTTGAAATAAAGAAATGAGTTCTTCATACGGCAATGTACCTCGGGGGTGAAAATGAGAAACGACAGGTCATATGGGCCAGGAGAACGTGGAGATGCCTCCTACAAGGCCTTCCCTCTGGCTTTGCAGGACCAACCCTGACCCAGAGCTGGCTCAGTCACTGCACAAAACTTTAGAAAAATTAACTTTCACAGACTCTATTCTGCCCACTTTTTGTTTACACATATATTATAATAAAAAGAAGACAATATAAAATATCTCAATTTACTTAATACAAAAACATCCAAACGTTTTAATGCCAATTCACATCATAATACAATGCTTTTATAGGGAAAGTTCTGTTGTTGTTGGCCAAACAATAGTCTCTCCCAGAAAAGCACTTGGGTATATTATTAAATTACTGAAGAACCTATCAACATTTTTCTTAAAAATCCAATTTTATTTCCGAAGAAGTTATTATTAAAACCACTCAGGAGAGGCTTTAGTTGCAGGTGTTATTGATAAGCCTGCAACAAGCAGTCCGTTGAGAAGGTAAAAGTTGGCCTTCGTGGTAAAGTGGAATTTTTCCTTGGTACTAGAATGTTACTGGTGCAGCAAATCAAACTACTCAGGGCACAGGCAGTACCCATGTATATTCTTACAGTAATTCAGTGTTCAGCAATACAATCCAAAATACTCACAGAATTAGTCTAACTCATGTCCTCCACAAAATCCATCAACTCTGGTTGACAAGTGCTTAGAAAAATAAAATCTGACCACCTTTCCTTTTACTTCTCTGAGTAATGACTTCACACTGAGGACTTCCATTAGATGACTTACATGTTCCCAAGATCACACTTCTCTCTCTCTCCCACTCCCTAAAGAAAGGACAAACTGAATTGGCAGAGGCAACTCTAAAAAAAATCCTGCAAGTCAGAAGTGTGACGGCATCCCTAACGTCTTCTTCTTCTGCTTCAAGGTCTCTGAAGAGGTGACCGTTAATCTGACATAGCCTCATAGACTCAAGCATAACGCTCCATTTAGAGTCAAACAGAATTGAGAAGAAAGTTTTTTCCCGTTTGCCAAATCTTTCTATTTTCTTTGCCTTTCAAGAACAGCTAGAATATGCTTCAAAGTCTAAATAACTAAATAGCACTGTGGGTGTAGAAAAACAAAACACAGCTTGGCCACAGCCGGAAGGGGCCTCAAACACAGCAGCGCTATTTCTTCTCAGACTGAGACACAATGTTCACAAGATGCAGACTACAGACTTAAAAAAAAAAAAAAAAGTATTTATCCTACCCATTTAACATGAAATGGATCAGAAATCCCACACCACTGATTACATTGGGATTTAATAACCATATCCGCTTCCTAGAGCATCGCGGGAGCCAGCTTTTACTGTTGGATGATTCACCACATTGAAAGGGGAGCTTTATTGCCGAAGTGCTGGCCACGCCTGGACTAGCGCGATGCCAATCCGACAGCAGCTGGTGAAGTCATGTTAAGTGACAGAGGGAATGGAAATGTTCGGTAAGAGTTGGTCCCTGACGTATGCCATGGTGAAGCGGGGGCAATCTGACCAATAGGCGACGTTTCGTTTTCCCACTCACTCAGCATCCTGCTATGAAGCCGCTCCTGACATCTTGGAGGGTTAACCCACGATATCATTAGCTTTTTCCGGAAGCATCTGTGAGTTTGACAACATGGTCACGGAGTTGCAAAGTGCACAAAGCTCAAGGCACAGAGTAGAAAAAAGTTGTGAACTAATGGGTGAGAAGGAATAGCAAAAGCAGAATTAGCATTTTCCTTTCACAAGACTTTCTAAATCTAAACAAAGACCAACTCTTTTAAAGGAGTTTGTTTTGGTTAGAGGTGAAAAATACTGTATTGTAATGATCTGCTTGATTTTAAAGCTAAACGTATCTTGATGTGTGACATGACTATGCCGAGCGCCAAGTCCACAAATGAATAAAACAGTGCTATAAAAAATTCTTCTGCTCTTATATTTTTGGAGGAAGCTGCTGATTTGGGCTGCCAGATTTCACGTAGCAACGGTCACTTTTCAAGATGCCTGTTCCTCATGGATTAATAGATTTCATTAAAAGATTGTCCCATTTCAAAATCATCCTAGCAGCAACTGAGTTTTTTTGTTAAAATTTTGTATTGTTTTTTTTTTAAATTACAAATCAAAGAAGTCCGACGTCCTCTCCCGAGAGCAGCCTTGGGAGAGCGCCTGAGAGCAGGACCCGCTGTGCTCGGAAAAGTCTCTGCAGCTCCAGTGTGTCCTTGTGGCAGGAAGGAAAGTACCTTCAACACAGTCACTATCTGTACCCTCTGGAACTCGCACATGCTGAAGGGCTGTCTGAAAGAGATCGTCAGAACAGGGAAAAGGATGAATAGCAGAGAGCGCTTCACAATGGCAGCACCTGCCTATACACACAGTCCTCCCCATCTCCCAATCGCCCAAAAGGAGGTTTTTTAAAAAGTGGTTTTGAGTGGAGTGAAAGGGGGGCTAGCTCATCAAGAGCTGAAGCTGGGTCACTGTCCCACTCTAGGCGACTACAGAATCGGGCGGCCTCTTGACAAATGCCTGAGAACCACCAGCAGCAGCTGGACCTCATCTGGGCGCAGCTTGCAGAATAGTCTGCCCTTGGTCACATACGGTGCCCAATGAGCCCCCTGTGGGTATCATTATTCTCACTGCCAAGGCCTATCTACATCACAAACATCAAAGCTGGTGAGGAACACAGTACTTACTATAAGTCAGCTCATCCCCAGCTCTCTTCCGGGACTGGTCACCTCTGGGGATTAAAAAAGAAAGAGCGAGTCAGCTGAACTGACTGACATCTTCACATACCGACGGAAGAAATGGACTGACATAATTATAATGGAAGTACAGCAGACATTTCAATTCTAACACTTATCAAACTTATACAGTAACTGAGTCATTTATAAACTGAATATTCTTAGCTAAATGGTGCTATCTTTTAAATATAGAAGGCTATTAAGTAAAGGAGATATTATCTTCAAAGATGGTTTATACAGGGTTCTAGAAAGTTCAGACTAAAATGTCTTTGAAGACTAACCTGGGTTTATCAATATCCCTCATGACCTTATACTAGGGCAAATTTCAAATATGAAATAGAAAGGGTAATTCAAAATCTTACCCTAAAAAGCTCTATTATGAAACTGAAAAGTGCTTAAAGCTTTTGAAAAATCTCAGAATCTCATTAATAATGAATATGAATGCCCTTCTAGCAACAGAAGAACATGAACCTTTACACACATTAATGAGTTCATCTTCAAACACCAAAGAAATTCTAGTTCCACTTTAGAGATTAAAAATCATAGGTTCTGATCAGATCCTATGCTACCCATAAATGCTATTTTCATCTCTCTAGTTTCTCAGACAATAATTCAGACAAATGACTAAAATATCAAAGCCATAAGTAATAACGACCAATTCCCCAGCTTTTAACTCTGGCCAGTCCTGTCCTTGGCCACTTCTCTTTGTATAGTCTCCTTAGCCTAGAACAACAATCACACAAGTGCTGTGACTTGAAATCCTACCTATACCCAATTGGTCCCAGATTTCTATGCCCAGCTCTACACATCAGACGCAGGTCCAAAGGCCTCATCATCACCAGTAATTTACACACACTGCCAATGCAGCATGGCCAACATGAACGCTGCTGACCCACTCCTTCCTCAGTCTTCCTCAAATGAACAGCCACCCAATTCCTCAGGCCAGAACCCGGCTTTTCCTTGATTCCCCTCTTTCCCTCACTCTGGAAACATAATCCAAAATAAACCAACACTCATCTACTCCACAGCAACAACCCCAATCCAAGACACTATCATCTCTCCCCTACACATCTGCAAGTCTCAATGTTAGTCCAGACAAGAGCCACTGACCTTATGTAAAAGCACAAATAAGATTATTTCATGCCTCTGAGTAAAGCCCTTCAGCGGGTTTCCATTACAGTTCAAAATCAATTCGCATTCACTTCCCCAGGCCTGTGAGATCTGGCCCCGCCTACCTCTCCCTCCTCCTCACGGAACTCTGCTCCCTCAGCCACTCTGGCTCTTTCTGCCCCTTCGGCACGTTGGCACTTTGTACCTACTATTTCCTCTGCCTGCAATACTCCTCCCCTGGTAGCCAAGGCTACCTCCTCATCACCACTTCCCTAGCTGGCATGTCTCCTCCCGGGAAGGCGGGACATTACCAGGTTAGCTGGAATGTCCCTCACACATGCCTGGTCACTCATTCTCTCACCCACACTCGGTTTCATCTTCTTCATAACACTTATTATTTGAAATAAATTGTTTACATGTTTATTATTTATCGCTCTACATTGAAGCACAAGCTCTGTAGAAACAGGGGCTTTGTTGCCTTGTACCCAGTACCCAGAACAGTGTCTAGCACATGGTAGAAAATAGGTATCTGCTGAATTAACAAGTTAGTAAATAGTACTTAAATAGCCTCTACAGGTTATTAAAATGCTAGCTCAAGTTAATTATCTTCTGCTTCTGAACAATCTTAGTCCAGACAAGAGCCAGAGCGATCTTATGTAAAAGCATAAATAATTTCCCATTCTTTCTCTGGTTTGTGCTCCAGACTAGGAAAAAGAACCTCCTGCGAGGCTGGGTGGGGAGTCTAATGACTGGCAGGAAGCACAATGAAAGGCCCTTGTTTTTCTCGGGGCACTGAGAGGAAAATGTGCACATTCAGCAGGAACTGGCCTCAGGCAGCTCAGAGAATCTGGATGTTTGAACAGATATTCTAACACCACTTTTCAAAGATCTCTGCTGTGAACACTATACAAGCTAGTGAGTACCTTACATTATTACTATTTACACCAGTATTGTCTCAGCAGTAGTCACCAAATATTCTTGAAACAAACAGGTTAAAGCTGATTAACAGGAAAATGCAGAATTTCGTATCTGGAACCTCACATTCCCAGCCCACAAATGCCAAATAAAAACTGAACATGCAGGAAATAACCGGAGAAAAACACAGGTGTGAGACTGACAGGAGAAAGGAAGGTAGGAGAAAGGCTGCCAAGGACATTATCTAACGTGGTGAGCAGGGAAAGCTATGAGCCGCGCTCCAAACCCTGCTCCTAAAGGGAAAAGCTCCAATCCAGAGCAACTCTCTCAGACAGACGACCAACAATGCCCCTATCTATAAGGCTCTATTTGTTTCAGAAACCCAGGTACCAATTACTCAGAAAGTACATTTTGTTTGCCCTTAAAAGCTATCGAGTAGCCACTCTGAAGAGGACCACAGGCTGGTTTGAAAGAGATTCTCCATCTCAGGGCACGCATGTTAGATGTTCCCAAATGAGCTTATCTTCTATAATGCAATATGACAACAACAGATACCAATCTGTCTTCCCTGGCAATAATCAATGCTATTATGCAGGTAATAGATAAAAAGGAAATGTTGCTTTTAGCTTATTTGTTCATTCTAGCTTTGAAATAAGTCCACACTGTATTTCTATGCACCTGAATATCTTTCCCATAACTCCAGCTCAAATGAGAATCTGCCCATTAAATGCAAAGGAGGATATATTTACAACCCTCACACATTATTTCAAAATATTTCAAAGACTTAGTCTGTGCCACCCACATGAAAGCTGTGTACTGCCTATTCAGGACTCCATACATCATGTAAGTGGGGCAGAATCTTAAATGAAAAAACAGTTTGCAAAGCTGAACAGGAACTGTGGTTGATAGGCATCCTATCCTGTACAATAAAGAGCTAATATGCTAATTAGACCAGACGGTGGAACAACCTTCCAGAACAACCAGTGGGTGGGGCCATGGGGCCGGGAGGCAGCCGGGGCTATGATGAGCCCAGCCGTTCGCATGGATTTTATGCATCAGGCCTCTAGGAAACCATAAAGTGACTGTTCATAGCAGAATAGCCAATAACGGAATTCTTGTTAAAACAGCCTGTACTATATGCTTTGTTTCTTGTTATTATTTTTTTTGCATTGGTGGATACAATTTCCTCTAAAATAACTCTAGCCAAATTCTGATCAGGGTAGGCATCACAACGGGCAGGGCAAAGCATGGAACCAGAGCTGGAAGTGCAGGCAGACTCCCTCCCGGCTGAGTGTAAGGTGCTGCACATCCTTTCTGCTGGGTGGCCACTCAGCAGGAAGGCAGAGTGAGTCCAAGAATGCCAGCTTGGGCAGGGCCTACTCTGTGCTAAGCATTCCTCAGAGTAATTTATGAGGCAAACCTTAAGTCTGACAATAAATGTATAACAAACTGCTAACTTAATTCTAGACATGGCCCAATTCAGTCTGTGAAATAAGACATTTTAATTTTATCATCTCTTGGAAAACATTTAAAAATTTCAGGCAGAAGGTGCATGAAAGGATCCCACTAAGAGAAACAAAAAATCCAAACTCAACTCCAAGGTACCTCCCTGAATATGGTCAGCTTGGCCTTGGCAAACAGTCAATGTTAGTCCATGTACAACAAGGGCAGTGTTGCATGAAGCTATTCATGGAGTCGGTTACCTATCCCCAGCAAACTTTCCAATCCTGCAACCTAGTGTCTTATTCCAGTTCCACAACCAGGGTTAGGAAATGCCTCTGGATGTGTTTAAATAGGTGCCCACTCTGCTCGGAAAGGTAATTCAAGGTGTTCAGAGAAGTTCACTAGAGTGTACTTCCTAAGCTGCTTCACAGAGATCGAAGTTTTCAGAAGGCTGTTAAAGACCCCAGTAAGTTCATCTCTAAAATTAAAAGCAAACACTCAATAAAACATGAATATAAGCATAAAAGACCTCAAATGTATGATTACCCCCCTCATATTACTGGGGTGAGGGGGAGACATAAAAGGTATACTCAGATTATTCTGCATTTATTTTAAAATATGTAAGGAAAAACTTTTAACTAGAATTCAGAACACATGAGCCAGAAAAAGACAAAACCTGACAAAGCTAGTTACACAAAAATAAATAAAAACTTCTCCATAACTTCAAATTAAAAAGAAAAACCAACGCCATAAGCAAATCAAAAGACAAAAAAATAAAGTCTTATCTCGGGCAAAGAATCAATCTTTTCACTATAGAAAGAGCTTCTAGAAACTAAGAAAAAAACAACAATAATAATCAAATAGAAAAATGAAACGAGGACATGAACAGGCAGTTTACAGAAAAACACAAACATGAAGCTGTGCTCAGCCTCACCCTTAACAAGAAATGCCAATGAAACCAGCCCTGTGAGGCTGGCAAAAATCCCAAAGTTAAAAACATACTTCACATGCACGGCCATGAAGGACAGCGCTTTCAAACGCAGCTGGTACATATGCAAAACACAATCCCCTATGGAGGGCAATTTGGCAATATTAACCAAAATTACAACTGCTTTTACTCTTGGCCCAGCGACCCCACTAATGGAAATTTACTCTCCAGACATACCTGCAACAGGTATAGCATTATACACGGACAAGGCTATTCATTGCAGCATTCTCTGCGACAGGAAAAGGTTGGAAATAATTCAAGTTGCCATCTACTGGGGACTGGTTAAATAAGTTGTAGTATATTTACACAATCAAATGTGTAAGAAATGAATAAAGATCAAAACATATTCCTTCCTACACTGGAAGGAATCATAAGAAAATTTTAAAAAATGATTCCCTAATGGGGTGGGAGTAGGGTAGATAGGAAGAGAGGTGGGGACAAACCTTTCATGGTGTGTATTTTTTATTCTCATTCTGATTTTTGAACCACACAAATATATTAGCTCTTCATAATAGGTAAAACTACTTATGGCATTAAATGGCCTCATTCTGTGTATGAAAATGATAGTGCTGTTAGAAATGTTACAATTAATGTCAGGAAACACGTAACCACTGAGTATGAGAGAGAGAAACTAGCTGTTTACATTCTATTTCCCACTGGCCTGTTCTTCCTAACTTGCTATAAGAAAGTGGGGTGTAGAGACCCCTCTAGCCATACAGCTTCATTGAGCCTTTCCAGTGAAAACTGACAGTGGTTACTCAGTTCCCCCACTACCACATGGGCAGAGATGCCACCAGGACAAGATGGGGAAAAATGCCAACCCATGGGTCAACAGATTATCCGCTTTATTTCCTAATCTGTGCTCAAACCACAGATTTGGTACCAGTGGTCTTGGTAAGACCATATTCTGAGACTTAATTTGGCCTCAATGACCAACTTACTACTATGTGTGGTCACCACTATGCCTAATGAGGAAGCCAGCTGTCTTCCTTCCCACAATTTTCTTGCTTTAATGCCATGGATCCAAATAAAGAAGAGATATAAAAACGTAAGTAAAGAGTAAGGATACTGAAAACACAAGGTTTTATACACCCTTCAGTGATGGTGACAGAGAGGGTATTTTCCCATAGGGAATCACAAAATTTTTATATAATCTAGTGTAGTTGAAAAGACGCACTTGGCAAGATTTTCTGGGTTATAGTCATGATACTGAATTGTACACTTTAGAGAAAGCAGCGAAGTGTATATGTCAACACCAAAGAAGATAAACATCCGGCAACATCAAAGAGAGAACTTCTTTTTTAAGAAAGAACAACTAGAATTTAGGGCAAAAGTGAAAATAAGAGAGAGAATGTAAGGCCTCTTTATGCTAGTTTAGTCATGAAAGTACCTATAACTCATCATAAAACTTCTATAGTGCTTTTCCAAATGGTCAGAACTAATATGAGGGTCAAAGTCTGAAGAGCTCTTGGAAGCTACCCAGGTAACTGCCCCCCGACTTAGAAATTCCTTCTTCAAAATCCATTCGGTGAAGAGCAGCTTCCATAAAACCGAAACCCAACCTCAACATTGCGGACGTAGGCAGCCTACCCCTCCAGGATCAGCTCGACTCTGGTACAGTCGTTTCTGTCTAAGGACCCTGGCACCCGCCCCTGCCAAACCAAACCGGCCTGAGGAGACTGGCGTTATTTTGTCACAAAGGGAAAAAAACTTGCCTCATAAAACCATTCTGCATGAGTTCTCTTTGAAGTTTCTGATCTTGAGCAGCATATTCAGAAAGTTCAGATTCCACCGCCGGAGGGAGGATATTTGGAATAAATTTAGAAAACAGAGCTGGAGCCATCTGAACCCACTCTGTGAGGGAAGGAAACAATTCATTAAGAAATCATAGAGACAAATTAAATTAAGTATATATTGCATTCTGGGAGGGGGGGGGGCAATTGGAGGGAAGAGATTTGGTGGAAATTAGCCCTATAAAGCATTTGTTAAGACGATACACTGGACCAAGAAGAGAACTGTGCGGGTAGTAACAAGTAGACATAAAAAAGAAGTCCACAAAAATGGATGGGAAATTACCATTTAACAAGTGCGCTGGAGATAACTATAATAGTAAGTACTTTTGAAGAAAGCCCTATTTTGACTCATGCTAACTACAGCAAATTAAATATATGTAAACAGTAAAAGAAAATGATTATATCGTTATTCAGTTATTTAAAAAAGATAAATGGCCGAAACCGGTTTGGCTCAGTGGATAGAGTGTCAGCCTACAGATTGAAAGGTCCCAGGTTCGATTCCGAACAAGGGCATGTACCTTGGTTGTGGACACATCCCCAGTAGGAGGTGTGCAAGAGGCAGCAGATAGATAATTCTCTCTCATCGATGTTTCTAACTCTCTATCCCTCTCTCTTCCTCTCTGTAAAAAATCAATAAAATATATTTTTTTTAAAAGATCAAGAGAACAATTTAAAGGAAAGCATTCAGAAATAAAGTAAGAGACTTCAAGAAGTCTAAGAAATATCTGCATTTATGATTAATTCATACTTTTATTATAGGGCATTTTTACAAATCATTAAGACCAGAAAATGAAAGACAGGACTAAATAATTTACAATAAAAAATAAAAATAGAATAAAAGTCTTGTTAATAAATATTCACAAAAACTCAAGTACAATAAGCACAATCTCCTCCCACTGCTCCCTGAACTCTAACTGTAAAGAATGCGCGGGGCAGCAGGTGTGCGATGAAACCAGCACGCTCCTTCCTTGCTGGTGGCCTAACTGAGCATTGTTACCCTTTTGGGTTCTTTTAATCTGACCTCTTCAAATGTCCCCTCTCAGAAAACATCTTAGCTGTGCACCTCAAGAATCATAAAATGTCAAAGCCCTATTTATTCTAGTGAGCTCAAATTAAAAAAAAAATAATCCGAGTATATATAATTCTAAATTTAAAAAAAAAAAAAATGCTGTGCAATGCTGAGTCACTAATAAAATTCACTGAAAAAATTCAACAGAACAGCCAAGTTAGAGATGGCATAAATAAATAAATAAATAAATAAATAAATAAGGACCACAAATGACACAGGAGCCAATCCACTCACCCTTTGTTCAAACTCATGGCAAATGTTCTCAATCATTTCCCTCCATCTTAGCTCAGCTCAGACATGGTTTGGAAAGTCTCACTCACTACAGTGCTCTGGGGAACCACTAACCAATCAGGGTGAGCTGGCAGGAGTCAAACAGACCTGCCCTTTTATGGAACTCCAGGTGGTCATTAAAATATAATAAAGAAACAAAAAAAAAAGTGTGTGTATAAATGAAGAAGGGCAGGATGACACAGTGACAACTGTTTTCAAGCTGAGCTTCTAAAGACCAAATGAAAACACACTTAAAATAATAATAGTCATCAGAATCTCTAAGGATTAGGGTCCAGGAATCTAGAGTTTAGAAAACCTTTTTTGGTTGATCCAGATGCATTCATTATACAAAGATCAGCATGTGAGAACCACCATAGTAAAAAAAAGTTTACATTTAAAATTCAACTTTTACTGAGGATTCTCAGAGGGAAGGGGAAGAGGGCACATATGCATAGTGCGGTGAAGGCCTGAGGAGGGTTTAAGGGGGGTGGAGGGGGCGGACAACTACAATACTTTAAAAAATAAAGATAAATTAAAACTCAAAAATAAATAAATACAATTCAACTTTTAAAACATTTTAACCTTAATCGTCAGGTGAATAAAACTGTTTTAATAAACCAGGAACAAATATTTTTAAGAAAGAATTATTTTTTTTAAATAATAAAATAAACCATGAACACAATAGGCAAGACATGTAAATGTCAAAATATGTTTAATATTATCTCAGAAAATGCCTAGGGTTACAGAGGGCTAGTCTGTGATAAAATTCACCTTCTGAAAAGGGATTCTCAAATACAGAATTCTCTATATAAGTAATATGAATCCTATTATAAGAACTCAAACTTAGAAAAAATGGCATTTAGATGAGCATGTATCTATGAGTCTTTTTACCCAGAGTAATTACTTTCATTCTGCAGCTTGTTACTCATGATAAAAGCCAGAGCCTTTATGATAAAGCAACCTACTTAGGAGGTGTAATTTAGAAATTTGTCAAACTGCACTCGGATGCCTCCCAAACTAAAGGATAAATCCATGAACCATTTCATCATATTTAGTAACATGAAAGTCAAAATTCTGAGAAACTACAAAAGAAAAACATCAGTTTATTGGACATATAAAGTATTTTTGCTACTTTATGTAAGTAATTTATACAAAAAATTTGTTTAAAAATTATGAAGTACGGAGCAAGATCTGATCAAATTTAAGTAACATTAAATTTGAATGCTGTTTAAAGTATGTAGAAAAAAGTGTGACATCATACTCCACCTCTAGTACAATTTTTACAAAGTTTCAATTTTTAGCAAAATTGAATTCTGATACATCTCTTAAATTAAGAAAAAATCAAAGCAACAATTAATATAACCACTAAATCCAACTGAATGGAAGTAACAGTTCATGTTAGTATGCTTATATTATCAGGTACTGTGTTAGGCAATTTAGATCAGGTCTTATTTCATTGACTCCTCAAATGACAAGAGTTTCACAAAAAGGTAAAGTAGTCCCCTTTCCCACAGGGGGATACATTCTAAAACCCACCAACTGATTGCTGGCAAGTTACATAAGAGGCCAAAGAAGATGGAGTTATGAATTTATATGTCTATGTATATCTGTAGTGTGGGACAGAAGTGAAGGAGAGTCTCCCTAACAAAAAAGACAAAGATTAATGCAAAGATTAATGCAAGAGAGTCAATTTTATCTCAAGTGTCTCCTACAAATTATTTCTTGTATTTCCGTTGGCTTTATCAGAATAGAGATAACTGCAATGGAGTCGTTTGTTTACATTTCACAATGATGAGTATCTACTCAGTATTTTTTGCCAACACGATCCAAATACCATGGGGCCTCAGAAAACACTGAGAAAAGCACTGTCCTGCTGGACAGGCATGGAACTACCACAAACAGACGAGTCCAACCCCAAAAGAAACGATGTGTGCGTTCACCTGGTCGGAGAGTGTACAGGCCTTTCACAATGTTTGCCATAGTTGAAGGTGTGACCTGAAATGGTGTTGACTGGGCTTCTAAAAGTAAAGCTGAAATAAAAAGACAAAATGGGATATAAAAATGATGTAACACTTATTGTCAAGGTTTCTCTATTACTATCGATATTTCTCCCAAAGATGGAAGAGCAAACAAGTGTAAGAAATGAACGGCCCAAGAGGACAAAACGAGAGTTTATACACTGAAGATTGTTTTTAAATCCAATGCAGCAGAGCTCGACCTAACAAATATGTACAGGTCTGCTGAAATACTAATGGAAATTATTCCACTCATGGAGGTTGTGAAACAAGTAAGCCTTCCTAAAAGCACTGGTATTCATGGTACTTGGTGAATAAGCTGAAAGTGCTTCCTATTATGTTCCTGATTCAAAACATGTACACTTGGGGGATGAAATGTTCTGTAATTCTCTCAATCATTTCTCTTTCCCCCAAATCACCATAGTTGAGGCCCTTGGAATTTTCCTGAAAGGCATATTATTGGTAATTTCAGAAACTGCAATCAGTGTCAGACTGACTTTCTGAGTCAGTCTGACTTCCCCAAATGCTACAGATGTACTTTTCTTTAAACTAAAGGTAATGGCAAGAGAGATCATGCTCGCTCATCCTTCTCACTTTCATGACTTTAGTAACCACAGAACCTTGAACGTAACAACAGAGTCATTTTTCTGCAGGACAAAGATTTTATTAAAACATTTTTAAATGAATAGAAAGAATTCTTCTAGGTAACATCATTACCTAGATACAAGCAAATTCCATTATTTAGTGGATGCAAAAGATACTCATGACACAGATCAGTTCATTTTTAATTTGTCAAAGACCTGCAACTTACTAACTAAAATACTTCATAAAACATGGTGTAATTTTACTGTATGCCAGGGTTGTGAAATTGGACAAGCGGTTTCCTTCTGTTCTTGCCTTTTTTTTTAAATGGAAAAGCCATCTCACTCGGCCAACAATGACCTCACAGTTTCAAACATACAATGTGAGTTACACTGAATTTATATAAAGGTCAAAGATGCATTGTTCAAGTTTATCCTTCGGATTTTATCATCAGTAGACAGTTATAATTTTGAATGGCATAAACTTGAAAGAGACAAATGTTAATTTAAGCACTATAGGAAATATTTTCAAAATATAATGTTTAAAACAGAAATTCTAGCCTGGCCAGAGTGGCTCAGAGGTTGAGCATTGACCTATGAACCAGGAGGTCACGATTCAATTCCCAATCAGGTTACATGCCTGGGTCATGGGCTTGATCCCCAATGGGGTATGTGCAGGAGTCGGCCAATCAATGATTTTCTCTCATTATTCAAGTATCTATCTAGCTTTCTTCCCTTCATCTCTAAAACCAATAAAAATATTTTTTAATTAAAAAATATGATAGAGCCAATACCGGTTTGGCTCAATGGATAGAGCGTCAGCCTGTGGACTGAAGGTCCCAGGTTTGATTCCGGTCAAGGGCATGTATCTTGGCTGCGGGCACATCCCCAGTGGGGAGTGTGCAAGAGGCAGCTAATCAATGTTTCTCTCTCATTGCTGTCTCTAGCTTTCTATCCCTCTCTCTTCCTCTCTGTAGAAAATCAATAAAATATATTTAAAATATATATATATATGATACAGCCAGATGAGGGTAGGGTTTTTGCACTAAAGAGTAAAAATCAGAGAGGATTCTGTGCTACACTTCAAAGATGTCACACTGAGCTCCTTCTAGAGTTACCAGTAACAAAGTTAGGGGTGAACTCCTGGATAATATTTACTCCACTGTCGCAGGTAGCAAGTGTCAGGCCAGATATGAAGGCACTGTCCGGCAACAGAGTCAAGCAGCTCCCAGCTCACTGGGTGACCTTCAACTCACATTTTCAGTTCCTTGTGTCTCTTTCTACAGAACTAGGCTTCAACACTTTCTGCTGTGCCAGGGCTCTCTGATCAAAAGAATTATGTGTATCATTGCTAGTGTTCTCTCACCCCTGTAAGGTAATTACTTACGCATTAGGCTGTAAATGTGCTTTTCTGCAACATGTTCCGTAAACAGCTTTATAAGGTCATCTTTTAAGTCTCTGTTAAGTTTTGTTTCGATGTAAAACTTATTCTGAAAGGGAAAATAAGTTATTTTTCAGTGCATCATTAGGGGAAATGATCAGTCTAAAATAGAAATCCTAAAAATAAATTCTTTTAGGAAACAACTCATAAAAGCATCAAGCAAAAACATAAAAATGCAACATCAAACAACAAAAAGAAAGCCCTGCCCTACTTAGACGTCTTTCTGGCATGGGGTTAAAAGCACATAAAGATGAAATTCAACAGACCATACACCTCCAAAAGAGCATGGGATACCTGACAGGACTTGACAAAGATGATGTACAGACACATGGAAACACACTGTGTGACAAGCACTTACTGTGCCTTTTGAAAAGTCCCCTTTTATTAGTGATCTAGGCTGAAAGCAGGTATTGAACATGCACTGTTGACTCCCCAACATAAGCTCCATTCAATACTTAGTCTAAGCCATTCAGCCTATGGCATTCCTTAGAGATGGTCTCTGGTTCAAAGATAGACACATGACCCAAGATAGCCCATAACTGAGAGAAACACAGGCTCCAGTGAAAAGTGTCTTACAGTCATCTTACCACCATGAGGAGAACATGGTGTGTTCCAAGATGTTGTGTACCAAAGAGAGAAAAAAGAACCTGAGTCTTTGGTGACACTTAAACCACAGATTCAGCCAACCCTGGAGACTGCCTTCTATCTGGATTTCATGACAAGAGCTAATTCTTTCCCTTATTTAAATCACTTTGAATCAGGCCTTCTATTTCTGGCAGCCAGAAGCATCCTAATAAGAAGGACCGACGAGTCAAAAAAGACTGAATTTGTTCATGTGTAAATGTTAACTCAATGTGTAGGAATGGAAAATGCAGAGGAACATTAACAACGTGCTGATTCTCTCAATTCTTAACACAAGTTTTATTTTTCTCTTTAAAAAATTATAAAATAGTATGCACATGGTTAAAAATTAAAACCATGCGCCGAAACCGGTCTGGCTCAGTGGATAGAGCGTCGGCCTGAGAACTGAAGGGTCCCAGGTTCGATTCCGGTCAAGGGCATGTACCTTATTGTGGGATTATCCCCAGTGGGGGATATACAAGAGGCAGCTGATTGATGATTCTCTCTCATCAATGTTTCAAACTCTCTATCCCTCTCTCTTCCACTCTATAAAAAATCAATAAAAAAAATTTTTTTTCATTAAAACCATGCAAAAGGTTACACAATAAAAAAGAACTGTCCCACTGCAGACCCTCTATCCCATTCCCAAAGGTCCTATCCTACACTAGGGACACTTTTGTATAATCTTTCTAAAATACTACTTATGTAATATGTGGATATGCTTTTTTCCCTAATAAAGAAGAAAACACTTGCTAATGGAAAAATATTACACACTGCTTTGTATCTTGCTTTTTCACCTAATGTCTCTTGGGAAAGATTTTTCTCTAAAATAATATGGACATGTCATTATTTTTAACTGCTTATTTTTCAACTGTCATTATCCTCAATAAAGCACTTAAATAATAGTCCCTGCTGATCACAGAAATTTCTCCAGTGTTCTGTTTTGTTTTTTTTCCTAGTTGTTAATTTGTGGTGGTTTTTGTTTATGTTTTGGGTTTTTTTTCCCAATAAAGTATATCTTATGGAGAATAAATAATTTTGAAGACTGGTATAAAACATGTAATCTCTATGCTATAGAATATAGGATCAACCTAAACATCCCATTCCTTAAATCTAATAAACAAAAAGGAATTGGGATAATGAATTTACTCCATTGGGATAATGAACCTCTCCACTCAATAAAAACACTAACATTAAGATTCTACAACTTTAAAGGGGGAAGGACTAATCAACAGAGTCAAAAGACTACAAATTTTACTCAAGGCATAATTTTCCAAATGAAATAGATCATTAAAATGGAAGCAAATTTTATTTTTCTAATTTTTTAGAGAATGACTTAGTTGGCATTCATGATTTTAGATACATGTATTCATTCTCTTTTTTCTGAGGATAAGAAATCTTTCTTATACATCTTTATTTTCCAAGAACAATATCTTCCATATGGCAGAAATAAAATAAATGCTAATAGGGTGGTTACTGATATTAATGCCTAATTGTCTACATGGCAATATTATGTATGTAATTTTAAAACGGGAAATTCTTCTATCCCAACACTATCAAACATTCCTAAAATAGATTATTTTCTATTTCTACCATAATATATAGTAAAAGACAAATAGAACACACTTCACTCGGACCAGTAAACCAAGCTCTAACTTACCATATATATGAAAAGAGGCACAATGCTCTGCAATGCTCCCATATACTGTCCAAGAGCTATATTAAATCTTTCAATATAGAGATCTGGAGGGCTGGCCTGTGGGAAAGAACAGAAATGTGATCGTTCCAGGAATGCAGGTTTAAAGACCTTCTGTCACAATCTAAAATGCAAAGGCTCTTTTTACAAACTTAGAACATGTAAGGGATCTCTCCTCCTAATTCAGCTTCCATTAGGAGTACTTAAGCTTTTGGTGCACACTAAAAGTGCCTTTTTAACTTTTTCTTAGTCTTCCTGTCTGCAAATTGCCCGTTATTTCCACTTTACATATGAAGCAACTGGGGCTCAAAATATTTAGTCCCTTGACTATAGTCTCACAGTTAACAAGCCCAAGAGCTAAGTCTCAAACTTTGGTGAATCTGAGTCCTTCCATCTACTTACATTCCTAAAACCTTTAGGAAAAAGTTCACATTTCCAACTTAGGGCACACTGTTTACCTCTTTCCATTCATATCCTGCTCTTCCTCATGCACAGCTCAGCCCAGCAAACATATGGAACTGCTAGCAGTTACCAAGTATCAGTGTGCTGTCAGGCTTCCTTGAGTATTTTCTACTTGAATGAAGTCTTTAACACCACCCCCTCAAAAGATTCACCTGGCTACTTCTATTTATCCTTCAGGATTTATCACTTCTTCATAAATATCTGGGATATATGGCCTCTCAAAAAGGCACCATCACACTTATTCACTTCTCCCACTGTCCCTAAACTTCAAGTTCTTGGAGGGCAAGATTTATGTCTTCTCTTTACATCTCCAGTGCTGAGCACAGAACCTGGAACATAGTAGGTATACATAAAGGCATGTCTTGCAAGAACAGAGCTTTACTTAAATTTAAGTAAAGCTTTGCTTAACTGGTTGAAATCTAACCTAGCCTTTTTAAAATCTAAATTTTACTTGTAACAAGGCTGTATGACATTACACAATGCATTTAGTACTCTCAATTTCAATTTCCATACATATAAAATTAAAAAATACTAATTGTGCTACTTCTAAGATGTGTTTAGATTCAAAGAATATGCTGTGTAAATATTACATGCATATATATATTTGCATGTCCAAATATTATATATGCATATGCAACTAATAAGTAAACTTAATGAATTAACTACCCATTTTTCAAGTACTTCATAAAAACCCATTAACATTATTAAAAGCATTCCTTATTAACTAAAGAAATTGGTGAAATGGTTCTACATTATGGGCACTTTTAACTATAAGTAATGAACAGAAACACATGCGCTATCTTTCTCTAAAGTGCTTCAAAGAACTCTAGAAATGGTATTTCAGTATTCAAAGAAATAAATTTTAAAATTATTATTTGGGGGGAAAATCTAAAGAGTTTTTGCATTAAAATGATTTTCCCTTTCCATGAAAGGACACTTTATCTATTTCAAAGTTAAAAGCACGAACATTGATCAAAAGGCATACTTAATAGCAGACAGAATAAATAAAATTGAATTCCTTAGCTATTCTTTTCAATAATCCCCAAAGGTTACGAGTAATAAAAAGCACTTTTTGTACTGAATCAAATGTCAGAACATTTACTTAGCTTCCACATTTCACGCAGCACTTATTCAAAACCTTTTAAATGACAGGACTATAAATTATAACAATCTCCTAAAATAAATTCAATCTCTTTACTAGGAACCTAGAAGAAAAACTATTTTTAAAAGCTAATCAAATTGTTCGTCCTTAAAACTTAAATTTGGTATACCTTGGGCCCCACTGGGAAAATTGCTACCTATTTGATTTACATTATTTCAGCATGAATATATTTGGCTTGGACATTAAATGAAATATTTTACCCTTGAAGCAAGCAAGCTTCATTTTCTTCTCAAACAAGAAAAAGCAAGCTGCCAGAAAAATAACTTCTACTCTAAAGTTGCTCCAATTTTTCATAACAGACCTAGATTCCCTAAAATGTGTAATATGGCTGGTAAGAGGAATGTTTTAAATTTTGTTTTAATGAGTAATATAGTCATCTGGTTTAAAATTCAAATGAGTTCAAAAAGACTTAGAGTTTACCTTTCACTCCTTCCTCACTGAACCAACACTTAATTCTTTTATATTCTTCCAGAAGAATTTTATATATACACAAAAAACAAGTACCCCATTTGTACCCCCTTTCACACAAAGCTAACATAAAATCACATTGATCTGCAATTGTTTTAAAAATATACCTTGGAAACTGTTTATCCTAGTAGTTCTCACATATTTTGGCCTCAGGAACTCTACACTCTTGCTACATACGGCTAGAGGCTACTGAATTGGACACCGCAGATATAAAATGCAAACAAGTTCCACAATTTCTTTTTTTTTTCTTTTTAATATATATTTTATTGATTTTTTACAAAGAGGAAGGGAGAGAGATAGAGAGTTAGAAACATCAATCAACTGCCTTCTGCACATCTCCTACTGGGGATGTGCCCGTAACCAAGGTACGAGCCCTTGACCGGAATCAAACCTGGAACCTTTCAGTCCGCAGGCCGATACGCTAGCCACTAAGCCAAACAGGGTAGGGCCACAGTTTCTGATTTATATCCCTCCTCTGCCTACATCCCATCCCCACCCCACCAAAATGATACGGGAAAATTAGGAATAGGTGCTTTTGTGTTCACAAAAACATTCCTGTTTTCTTTAAATAATGACTTTTCCATGTTAAAATGAAATAGGGAAGGAAAAGGGTGGGAGGGAAGGATCTAACAAACACTACAATTCTATCTTTACAGAAGTAATGCATGTTCGCTAAAATTTTTAAAGTTAAAAATGCAATTATAAATGAAAAATAACTACTAATATCAGGTAGATAACCACCATTAACATGTTCTTCTGTTCTTGTGTCAGTGCGTGTAATCTGCTTTTTTCACTCAGCTACATATCATCATTTACCAGATGAAGTATATTTCTACAACATAATTTTAATAACTGTCTGGACACACCATTGTCTATTTCATCAGTCCCACTTCATTAGATTCTTAACCTGTGATTTGTTGTTTGTATTATCCAGGTTTGCCTGGACACTTCTAGCCCAGAGTGCTTAAGGGGTACAAATGTGAGTAGCTTCAGATTATATTTAAACATAAAATGGCACCACTCCGTGCTTAAGAGCAAGAACAGCTTCGGGACCATTGGTACTTCGATAGCCCAGGGACTCTCAAAGACTCAGCTCTCAGCTCTCCAAATGCCTGAAGAACTTGTACATGACAGATTCCTTTGCCGCACTCCAAAGCCCTGACTCAGAAACTTTCCAGAAGGTACATTTTTAATGAGAACTTCAGGGGATTCTTTAAACAGCTGCTCTGGCAGCTGTTCGGCATTTAGAAATGTCCACTTCAAAGGAGAGAGGAGCTCTAAGGGAAGGGAGTCTATAGAGAATTCAAGAAAAGGTTGAGCAGTAATCACCATGCAACACAAGGCATTGACTGCATGACAATAGTGACGATTTAGCTGCCAATTATACTGAAAAGGGTAAAAATATAATACACTAGCATTTCAACATTAGTATTACTATAAGTGAATTTTTTCTGTAAATTTAACCATTTCTTGACTTATCAAATTCACTGATTATAGTTAGTAAAATGGAACAGTGAAGTGCCTCGTGTAGAAATTAATGAGAACATTCAGTCTCACACTTATATTATATTCCATACACCCAACTAAGTGAAATGAATTCTAAAGACTGACAAGCTCCTCTAAGGAAAGAAAGAATATCCGAACTGCTTCTCCTCTGGTGATGGCAGCCATAAAAGCTGGCAAGAAAACAGCAGTTGAATGAATCATTAAAGGCCAAGTGTGAGCTCACAGGCCTCACACTAGGGCAGTCCCCACCTAGCCACCAGCTCTTTTCCATGGGTTTCCACTGGGCCTTTGAGAGAAGACTGAAGGCAGTGAAAGAGATGTGAGAGCCACCCTCTGTGGCACAGAGATGCCAGGTTTGAGGATGGGGCAGAGTACCCGAAGAAGCCCATGCTTGCTCTGCACCTCCTGGAGTTGAAAAGGTGGGGATTAGCTGCCGATGGAAGACAGAAACAAAAGCTGCAAGTACCCTGGGTGCTACTCAGATACAAAGCAAAAGTCAGTTGCTGAAGGGAAGAGGGGACCCCCCTACACCTGGGGACCCGTCTCTGATCTAAGGCAAAAACTGTCCACTGCTGGAGGTAACCCTCCAGCCCTGCTGTCACCAGCAAAGGTCAGTTATCAAAAATTAAGAAACACTGAAAAATCCCTAGCCAGTTTTGGCTCAGTGGATAGAGCATCAGCCTATGGACTGAAGGGCCCTGGGTTTGATTCCAGTCAAGGGTACATGCCCGGGTTGTAGGTTCAATCCCCAGTAGGGGACATGCAGGAGGCAGCCAATCCATGATACTTTCTCATCATGGATGCATCTGTCTCTCCCTTCCTCTCTCTGAAATCAATAAAATTATATTTAAAAAAAGAAAAGAAACACCTTTGAAAAATCAAGAAACTATAACACAATGTCAAGAATTAGAGTCAGCAAACCCTAGATGCAAAGATGCCCACAAACGGTTACCTGTCCATAAATTAACTCTGATTGATATAAATATGATATAAATTGATATAAATTGATATAAATATGTAATGATCTGCAGAAAAGGTATACAACATGCATAAAAAGGTGGGGAATTTCAGCAAATTAAAGGTTTAAGTCAAATGGAAATGCTAAAAATTCTCCAATTTTATTTTAAATCTTTTAACATTCATTCCTATATTACAAAAATGACTTTGGCATTTTGGACACACAAATGAACCTGATTGCTCTCTCAAGGATCCTTAATATTATTTTCTGAGTCAAATTAGAAATTCCTTTTTTTAAAATCTGCCTCTACATGACTAACTTTAGCGTAACAATGTATAATATGCTTTTAGTCTACCTGGCTTATTCCTTGACTTTCCAGAACAAGAGCATTCTGCCAATGGACAGACGTGTCAAGGCTCCAGAAGCAACAAAATTACACCGGAGGCTGACAAAGGTGCTACATAAAAATAAATTCCCTCCCAGATATATCTGACATCCCATTCTCATTCCTGCTGTGAAGACAGTTTCCATAGTAACTATCCAAAAAATGGTAAATTATATAAAAGATAAATGAACCACAGGAACCTTAACCTTAACATACATATTAGACACTCCTCAGATAATTTGTAAGAATGAGTTTCTAATTAAAGGTAAAAATAAAGAAGTCAAAGGGAGTCCAGAAGACACTTCTCTCCTGATTCTCAAAGTTAACTGCTCCTGCCAAAACCGGTTTGGCTCCGTGGATAGAGCGTTGGCCTGAGGACTGAAGGGTCCCAGGTTCGATTCCAGTCAAGGGCATGTACCTTGGTTGCGGGCACATCCTTAGTAGGGGGGGGTGCAAGAGGCAGCTGATCGATGATTCTCTCTCATCGATGTTTCTAACTCTCTATCCCTCTCTCTCTTCCCCTCTGTAAAAAAATAAAATATTAAAAAAAAAAGTTAACTGCTCCTGTTATTAATACCAGTTTGATATGGACATTTCTCCCTCATTTATTTCTAAAATATGACTTCCCTCATTTTCCAAATAGCTTAAACAGTAAACTGAATTAAAGTCTAGCCTCTGTAATCCAGGATTCCTTCAGCTTATCCATATAACAATGAGATAAACTAGGTTCTAATCCTAGTTTTTAAATTGACTGGTAGGTGGCATAGAGAGGTTACGAAAGGCCCGAGGATTACTTAATACAGAAAATATCCAAAGAAGTCGAGTGGACTAGGATAACTTCTCACTTTCTTATGTACTTCATTTCTTAAAACTTGGCGAAGTCTACCACCTTAACACTATTTGCTTATTTTTTAAAGAAAACTTTTTTCTTATATCTTTTCCAATTTAAGAATATAACTGTCTCAAAACGAAAAGTTTTAAAAGAGCACAACTCATAATTGTATTGTGTTCACTGTGACAATAAACAACAGCAATGACTGTTCTTTATTTAAGTGATCTGACTCTCTTGCTCATCCCAAATTTCTTTTTCTGAGTCCAGGATGCTTTTGAACTAACCAAGTAGATGGTTCTAGTAATATCAGTTGTAAAGCTAACAAATGCCATTTATCAACTTGTAAGTACTTTTGCAGTCTTCTCCTTGGTTTTTGGCATTATGTTAAGCCTATGAGGAGAAAACACGGTCCCTTCCTTCAAAGGATAGCAAACTTACAGGGTGTCTCATTGACAAATTTTGAGACAAGAATAACTTTGCTGTAACAACTGCTTTAAGTTCAAGTTTGGATTAAATAAATAGATCTCCAAATAACTTACTCAGAAAAAAATTTCAGTAGAACATGAATGTGAAGAGTTGGCAACAATGTTTATTTTACTAGAAATCTATGTAAAAAGGATAGCAGGCAACGTTCTTGTTATCTAAACTCTCCCTCACTCTGAAAAGGCATAAATACCATATTTGGGGAAATGAACGTTTTTAAAAAATACTTTTTAGTTCAACAGGTATAAATATTAGAGCCTTTTAAAAATATACAAGACAAGTTGAGTTATGCTGCCACCCACCGGACAAAACACAAATAGCAAAGCAACCCTTGCTCTGATTTTAAACACCTAGAGAATCTGGCTGTTTGTTGGCAATTTGGAGGTGTCTCTGAATAAAGATCTGGTATTTAGTGGCAAAAAGATGATGAAAACACTTTACAGTAACAGGAAAAGTATATATTTGGGATGAAAACAATGCTTTGGCTATAATTAAGAAAAAAAGAAAAAGAAAGCTACTATTATAAGTACAACAATTTGGGCTAAAAAAAGACTAAGATAACTCAGCACACAGGTGAGTAAAGAACAATATGTAGGCCCAAAGCACACCCCAGCACTTTCTAGAAACTGTGGCTATTTCAGAATTGCTGGAGTACTTCCCAACTGTGGTGTGGATCCATAATTTATTGCTGAGTGACTTTCCTATACATCATGTTACTTCCACGCCAGTACTAAAATGTGATCTGCATTATAAACTGATGAACCAAAAGATAGATATAGAGACAGTAAAGCAACAAGCAGATTGTCAAATTACAACGGGGAGGGGAGGAGGGTCTGGGGGAGACAATAAATCAACCCAAGGACTTGTATACCTGCATATAAGTACAACCAATGGACATAAAACTCTGGGGAGGGAGGGGATACATGGGAGGGAAGGAGGGGGGCAAAAAAAAAAATCAATAAAATATGTAAAATAAAAAAAAATAAAAAAATAAAAAAATAAAAAAAAAAAAAAAATGTGATCTGGCCCTGGCATAAAAATAGTACCTGACCTTCAAGCACTGGAAAACTTACTGAGGCAGAGAGATGCTGGGGGGACCAAGAGGCCAAGTGTTTACTTAAGCAGAGTATTTTCTACAACTTGCCCCAGATTTGACAGCCAGGATGACGTTTGTCTAAAGAGGGTTTATCCACAAAATTCTGACTTCAGTTGTTCATAATTAGCAAATTTTAGAAACTAGTAGGCAAATCACTCTTCAAAGATCATTTTTATAAAGTTTCAGAAAAAAATTAACATATACACATTTATATTACAAATGCCACCAAATACTAAAGTTCACAGAAAAAAAAAAGATTTTAAATAAATATCCACATGGTAATAAATGAATCAGTTAAAGTCTGAAATATATTCAATCTAAAAATTTCCACAATGTATGTCAAAATTTTTAAATAATAACCTATTACAAAATTAGCTGCTTTGGTCAATATCCATCTAAAAAATGTTTATAAATTTATCTCATACTCAAATTAACAAGCCTCCGGAGGTTTATTACACAGGCTAATTCCAACCAATCAGAAAATCCCAAGGAAGCAAAAAACAATACAATCAGTTCTTTACCTGCAGCTCCTTTGAGACTCTCTCTAAGTGATTAGTTATCTTTTTAATCAGATCACTATACATCTGTTCTGAGTGCTGCTGGCATACACATTTATACACACAACTGTGGGGTAAACAAAACAGAAAAACCAGGTTAATGATGAAGCATGTAATTCAGCCTAAGGTTAAAGCATACTCTGTATATATAGCCACTGGTCAAATAACCAATTCAGACGTAAAAACAGTGACCAATCACTACTTTTAAATAAAAAATTTACCCTGCTCCAATCAGTGTTCAGATGCAGGAGGTATTACCACCAGCAACAAATAAATCTTTATGAGCACTCTACTGCACATTTTATCAATACTAGATAAGTTAATACTTGGTGATAATCTGAGAGTCTGACTATGGTAACTACTTATAGACCAGCTTCTCTCTCATTTTAATGAATGTCAAAATAAGGAAGAGAGAGTGTAATGAGTAGAACGTTTCTAACTCACAAAAGCATTTTCAATGCAACCTCTTTGTGCCTCACTTGTGTGGAACAACTCAGTTGTCACTTATTCCTCTTGTGACTGGGCTGATCTCATACCCACCCCAGTGCCTCACTAATTTGCTGCTTCAGTATACCAGGAGCCGGGAAACAAAATAACCAGAGAGTTAGAACTGTGTGTCACTAAACATCGCAGATTAAGCTCAAGTCTCCCTGTGAGACTAAAAATACATATCGTTACCCTTTTTGCTGACCTCCATCTATTCTGCATTTTATATGGCATGGATGGCAGGCTGGGATGGCGTTAACTGTATCTTGATTTGAAAACCAAGTCTGAAGCAAAAAGTATAAATCAAACCTCCAATCCACATGTGTGTAACATATAAATAACTTAGAGCCTCATATTATATATTATATATTATATATTATATATTATATATTATATATTATATATTATATATTACATATTACGTATTACGTATTACGTATTACGTATTATATATTATATGCATACATACTATCACACTCAAGCTGCCATGAACTTCAATATACCCTCTCAAACCCAGGCGAATTAAATCCAACTTACCTGTATATCTGTTCATAGGATATGGGGATATAGTCACCAGGACTCTGGGTTAAAAGCTGATCTATGGCACCATCCAATTTTGGCCAGTATGTGCTCTTATAATCTTCAATAGTTATAACATTCATTACTAAAAGTAAAAAGTAAAATAAATATTACTGTTACCACATGTAAACAAACAGGAACTAGAGCAATTTTGTATCCTCAGTCAAATTTCTTTTAGATTTCACACTGACACTTTATCACCTAAATATCGATACAAATCAATTACTATCCTATTTCATAAAATAAAACAACACCAAAACAGCCTGGTCAAGGATTCTAAGCAACATTAATTATGATTTTAAAAGGAATTACTATGAGTGTGTCCATCTTTAAAAATAAAACAAGCAAATATCACTGGTTTCCCTTCCTGGTTTCTATAAGCTTCCGTTATCAGTGGATCTACTCAAACATGCACTGACCTTCAAATACCCATCTGTCAATGATGTAAAAAGATTCCTATCTGTGAACCACAATAAGGTTATGGAACATCCCTGGGAAAATCTACCTAATCAATGAAAATTAAAGTCCACATTCTACAATAATGCCCGGCCAGCTTGGCTCTGTGGCTGAGCATTGACCTATGAACTGGAAGGTCCCAGTTCAATTCCCAGTCAGGGTATATGCCTAGGTTGTAAACTCGATCCCCAGTGTATGTGTGTGTTCGGGGCGGGGTAGGAGGCAGCTGATCAATGATTCTCTCTCATCATTGATGTTTCTCTCTCTCCCTTACTCTCTAAAATCAATAAAATCATTTTTAAAAAACACTATAGTATAGTAACAAAAGAAGTTACTGAAAACCTACAGAGACTTACTAGTGCCTCCTAACATTACTGTAACTCTGATGGGCTCTTGCTATTTTACACTTTGGATAAGCCCAACAGAAAAATGCATCAATGAACTAGAGCCTTACACTGAAGGCTTACCTCACTCCCTGGCTAGCTTACCCCTTCACTCCAGGTTTAATAAAGCATTTATCACAAGTGTCCTAACAACTCTGATATCCAGGGTGACGGCGATTTCACAACAATGAAATGAAGCTAATGTTAAAAAGAACTACCAGAAGCCTCTAAGACACCTTATGTCTTATGAACTACCTCAGAAGACCAGAGCTAACAACTACTACATCAAGTATTTTATTGTTTTGCCAGAAACTGGGGAGCTCAGAGGTTGACTTCCCCAAGAGTCCATGGCTGATTACTGGCAGAGATACTAGGCAAAACAAAGCCTTTACCTAGCTTCTTTCTATCACATCAATGATTTCTAAATATTAGTCACTGAGATTCAAGATGCTTCTCATCCGTTATTCTCCAACTCTAACCTATCTAAAATACTCAAATCGGAAGCATCTACTCAGTTGAGATGACACAGGTGTAAACTACACTAACTACATGCAGGTCTGCCAAAGTTTTAGAATTCTGTGATTCCTGCAGGATTTAAATACAAGTAATCTTTCCATGGCATTAAGTCCAGGAAAGTTTAACTTTGAGGCAGCAGCACAAGGCAGGTGTGCTGAGGGAGAAACACCATTAAATGCACTGACAGGTGTCCTGCAGGCCTCTGAGAAGTTCAAGGCTTGAGGACAGGATACAATGAGTGTGGATTAAAGGCAGAGATAGCTGGTGGATGAGAAGTAAAGATGGACTGGAAGACTAAACAGTAAAGAGAAGTATTGTTCGTGCAAAAAACTGAAAGATAAAAGCTTGAAACTTTAAGACACAGATTTATAGTAGGGGTGGGGTGGGAATGGGGGTGAGGGTGTGTGTGTGTGTGTGTGTGTGTGTGTGTGTGTGTGTGTGTGACACACAGGGCTTGTGGATTTAAGTCAACACCAAAAATGCTCAAATATCTAACCCTGTTCTTCTCTTTAATTCTACAATGCCATCAGCCAGAAGAAATGTACTTTCTTTCCTGCTCCACCAACCCACCCCATCATTCTCCCTTCAAATGGAAGGTCCTTCTTTACAGAAACTGAGCAATCCCAGTTGAAAGACATTCACATACTAATATCTGGCACTTCCTGCACAAAAGAGCAGTTCTGCAGAAAAGCCCACACTTTTACTTGGAAAGGCCCCTCTCAAACACAGAACTACCAATTAGCCTTTTTTCACTTTTAAATATTAATAGAGCTAAAGATCATCAAGATTTGCAAAGTCTCAGACAGGAGAGATCAAAACAAAAATTGATATGATAAAAACAAAGATAATTAAGAAAATAAAACTCTCCCAGAACAAAGCAAAAATTAATTAACAAACTTAGAGAATCAAAACAGGAAATCAACATCTGACTAACAGTAATAATTAGAGAAAAGGGAAAATAGAGAAACTGTAAAGGGAGGAAAATATTGACAAATATAAAAAAACTAGAGGCTGGATGCACGAAAATTCATGCAAGGGTAGGCCTTCCTTCCCCTGGCAACTGGCACTGGCTTCCCTCCTCCAGCCGCTGGCAAGCACCCGGGACCCAGGCTGCTTCTCTACTCCAGCTGCCCGCAGGCACCTGGGCCCCAGGCTGGCTTCCCTCTGGCCCCAGCTTTGTCAGGAAGGACGTCTGAAGACGTCTGGTCTAATTAACATATTACCCTTTTATATCTCAGAAATGTTCAAGGGAAAAAAAGTCAAATGGTATCTGAGCTCTCCATTCTAATACTGCAAGCTTAAAGTCAATGAAACAACATTAAAAAGTCCAAGGAAGAATGATTTTCGTTAAGATTTCTATACACATACTATCAATCAAGTATGAAAGCAGCATTTTTGTATATACAAACTTATCCACACACAAATTTTTTCAGAAGGTATGTGCTAAATACAACACACACATATACACATAATACACCAATAAAAAGGAAGACATCAGGTAACTATCTGGGAAGTCCCTGAGTAGAAACTATGCAAAGATCCTTAAGAATAATAGGAACAGGAAGACTCACAGCTTCACAAGCAGACAAAGAAAATACTGATTAACTGAGCATTGTGAGAACACCAGTGACAGATATATGGTGAATCTGAGGAAGCTGTTGCAACGTTTTTAAGATGAGTTTGAGCCAGGACCGGTTTGGCTCAGTGGATAGAGCGTCGGCTTGGGGACTGAAGGGTCCCGGGTTCAATTCCGGTCAAGGGCATGTACCTTGGCATATCCCCAGTAGGCAGCTGATCGATGACTCTCTCTCATCGATGTTTCTAACTCTCTCTCTCCCTTCCTCTCTGTACAAAATCAATAAAATATATTAAAAAAAAAAAAGATGAGTTTGACAAAAATCATTGAAGTATAAACAAGGCAACTAATACCGAAGTTCTTTCTATGTGAAAGATCATGTAATCTGAGTGCACTCCTGGCCCTTGAGAAACTATTTACATACTAATAATCATAATGTACTAGGTGTACCAGTAAATAATGCATCTTTTTTTCAATAGATGGAGTTACACATATGTTGATATATATGCGATTTGATATGTATGCTATTTTATTGTATTGACAGCAAGCTTCAAAACTTCATGTCAAATTTGCTGAAGGTGTTAACATCAGACATCTTTACACTTAAAAATGTCGAATTTTGTGCCAAAAAAAAAAAAAAAATACAGTTGTGGGAAGTTTTAATTCATTACTTCATTTTGAAGAAAAAGTTATCGTATACTTCAGGAAGCTTACGGTGAACATGCTCCATCTCAAGATACTTGTGAACGCTGGTTTAAACACTTTAAAAGTGATGATTTCTATGTGAAAGCCAAAGAACGTCCAGGTCAACTAGAAAAGTTTGAAGACCAACAATTACAAGCATTATTAAATGAAGTTGCCTGTCAACCTCAAAAAAAAACAAAAAACTTGCTAAAATATTAAATGTTGCTTAGCAAACAATTTCCAATCATTTACAAGCAATGTGAAAGATTTTAAAGGAAGGAAAATGGGTGACATATCAACTGAATGACAGACAAGTAGAAAGCCGAAAAGTAATCAGTAAAATATTGCTTCAACAGCACAAAAGAAAGTCTTTTTTGCATCGAATTGTGACTGGCGATGAAAAGTGGATTTCTTTTGAGAATCCCAAGTGCACAAAATCATGGGTTGATCCAGGTCAACCATCAATATCGACCTACACGGCCAAATCGCTTCAGAAGATAATGCTCTTCGTTTGGTGGGATCGGGAAGGTGTGGTGTTATTATTAGCTTCTAAAACCAGGTGAAACCGTTAATACTGATCCCTATTGACCACAAATAATCAATTTGAATCATGCTTTTGATCATTAAACAACCAGAATGTTCCAGAAAACAAAGTAATTTTGCTTCGTGATAACGCACCATCACACACTTCAAAACCAGTTAAAGACACGTTAAAAAATCTTGCCTGGGAAGTATTAACCTTCCTGCCGCATTCACCAGACCTTGCTCCTTCAGATGACCACTTGATCTGATCCATGGCACACGCACTGTCTGAGCAGCACTTTAAAACGTACAAAGAAGAAGTGGGAAATTGGGTCTCTGAGTGGTTTGCCTCAAAACAAGAAAAGTTGTATTGGGACAGTGTCCACAGATTACCTGAAAGATGGGGGAAATGCGTAGCTAGCATTGGACATTACTTTGAATAAAGCACTTTCAATGTTTCTCTTGAAGGTATCATGTTGTCTTTGATTACAAAATCAGCAATTATTAACCAGTACACCTAGTAAATATGATCAATTGAACCAAAAAGTGGTATTAACTGAAGAGATGAGGTGTGTGAGAACTAAATCCTCACCTTAATGAGAGGTAATATAAAAGTGATAAATTAAAGAATAACAATATTAACACATTAAAATGAGTGGATAAATATCAAAAGAAACAACTAAATGCATTAAAAGTGACTCTCAAAAAAAAGTGATTGGCTCTGAGTAACAAGTCCAGGAATGGAAGAGGCAGGGGAGGGAACCACTAATTTTAATTATGTGTCTTTTCAGTTTGAGTTTTCAAATTACAAACTTTATAAGAGCAAAGTTTTGGTTTAAGTCCAAAGAGTTTGCTGAATCTTAAGTCCTCAGAAATGGAAAAATAAATCTAATGAAATTTTCATCTCAGTATTTCCAATATTCTAAAGCACAGAATGAGAAAGCTCAG